GCAGGCTTACTGAATACAAAGTATTCTTCATCATCATTAGACTCAATCCTGCGAAATTTGTTCACCATGGTGAGGTTGCTACATTTAGATGGACATTTCATAGGGCCACTTGCAGCAGTACCCTTCAGTGATCCTTTGTTTACAGGGATATCGAAATCTAAATCAGTTCGTAGTTCCACTGGAAGGCGTGGTCGTTGTGTATTTTGTTGAATTCTATTGTCAGTACTGAGTGACTGTTGGGGTTACAAATAAACAATAGTGTCAATCAATCTCTGAGCAAGTTTTCCAGTATATTGAATCTCACTCCTAGAATAGAGCAGTCTGAGGGTAAAACGCAATCATTGATGACGAATAGGCCTAAGAGAGGTGGATATCGAGAAGGCTCCATGATGTCTAGTAATGCATATAGACCTAGTGAGTGTAACAGGTTTCGTAGTACATCCTCAACAGATAAGTTACAAGATGCAAGACTAGCACGGTTGTGTTTTACACGTTTGCAAGAGGTGCATACAGAAGTGAACTGCAAACCGGTGAGCAAGTTCAGTGATAAGCTATATGTAAACTCCAGGCCTGACTCCGAATTGTGTGACGATAACGGTGCGGTGAAGAAGTCTGTAGTTGCAACTGGTAAGCCATTGTTGAATTCTGTCACAGAATAGAGTTACTGCTTCAGAGTCCAGTTCTGACCCTACAAGTTTACAAGGTATTACTAGTCAGAGTGAAGATATAAAACCTTTAAGGATTTGTGAGGAGGAGCCAAGATTGTCCTCTTCTGTTATTAAAGAATTCGAAAATGATGAAATTGACGGTAAGGTTACTATTCGTGATAATGATCATGATACTTCACATTTGTCTTTGGTTGATCACGATGAGATGAGGGATATGCCTACTACTGCTAAGTTGAACAAAGTTTCTGTACAACTTGAACGTGAAGAAGAAATAAATGCAGGTGCAGTCGCAGAAGGCATGCATACTTGTGAGACCGTCAGTCTGAGTGATCAGCATGTGGCCCACCTATCATCAGATGCTAGTGCTAAACCTGAGCTGATAGTAAAAGACAGCAGTGGTGGTGGTCTTGCACGTAGACAAATTTCTGAAAGCCGAACAACAACAGCTTCTGATCCACCGCTAACTTCATCAACTTGTGTCGATCAATCGTCGTTGGTGTTGTCATCCACAAGGAAGAAGACGCCCATCAACTCAAGTATCTTGTACAATGACTATGAAAGTATTGCTGAATTTGAAAAGACGAAAGATATTGCTCAGTTTAGAGAGGATACGCCAAGTGTAAACGAGAGAGTAATTGTTAAATTGACTTGCATAAATAAAGGCATTTCTTGTTTCAAGTTACTACTTGAATGCTATTATCTTTGGTGTAAATTACTCTGTGCCTACGCTTGGTTGATGAGATACGTCGTGTGTTTGTTCGTTATCTATATTCTACGATGCAATGACATGGGCGTGTTACCGTTCAGATTTGAGGATATAGCTGATAGAAGGAAGTCAGCAAATGAAATCTGCGACGATTTTCCAACCTAGGGCGTCAACCTGAGAAGGGTTGTAGGCGTACTGGTGTAAGTCCTGCGATTCTTCAAAGGAATTCCATCAAGATACGATCCGCGAGGTTGTTTGTACTATTTGTATATATGTGTGGTGTGTCATATCAATTGGTGTTTTTGGATTCATTGTGTTTACTCGTTGTTTTCGTACCTTGTTGTTATTGCATAATTTTGTTAAAATTTTCGTCGTGATTACTTCTGTGGTTGTTTCGAGTCTTCTACATCCGTGAATGAATTGATTGATGTTAAGGACAGCAGATGGGTCGTATACGCCGAGGAGACTATTGCTGAGAACGAAGTGCATACGGAGATAATTGTTAGCTGTGGTCCCACACGCCGGGGAGCGAGAGTGTGGACGACTGAGGCTAGCATACGTCACCGTTACTAGAACTGAGGCAGAATGAGTGACAAGCGACTGCAGTGGTAATTGGTAGTGAGTAGATAAGAGGATGTGCGTAGAGTATCGTGAGGTGGTGCTATGGTCACGTTGCATTCTGCAAGAGTCATTCTAGCAAGTGGCGATTTTGTTGCAAGAGGATGCCTTTAACTGGAAGGCGCAGGTCGTCATTGATGTGTGAGATTGTGCTGTGGGTATGCTTGTGGTGTGTTGGCCTTTCTGTTTGTTTTCCATTTCAGCTCTGTCCGTGTGACCCAGGTTCTCGCAATGGCATCCAAGTCAACGTGTATTGGTCGTGAAGAAAAAAAGGGTTGGATCCCTTTTTTGCCGGGGAATGTCAGTGTAGTTGAAGATTGAATGATCAATTCATGGTTGTTTGCTCAAAACCAACTTCCCCAATTTTCGCGGAGGCATCAATACGACAGTCATCGTCTCATCGGTCGCTGTTCAGAAAGAAGAGTAAAAATCCGTGAGAAGTAATATTGTGATTTATTATTGTAATATTTGTTCACAGACCTTAGTTATACATTATTTATATGTTGGTGTAACAATACAGAATCCTCAAGTCAACAATTGGTGTTTTGGTTTTTTCGTCCGTTATTACTAAGCGTTTCTGAGAAACTTCAAGGGACAGCGTGAGCCCGAGCGTAGCAAGAGCTGGGCATTAACGGTTTACGAGACGTGGCTGACAATAACATTTTTGCGTTTATTCCAGGATGAGTGTCTTGGAGTAAACTACCGCATAATTTTTCGAGTACCATTCTTGTATCTTCCACGTCTCCATGGGACGACTTAGGGGATGAGCAGTAAATCGTCACTGCACTCCTTTCCATAGTCGATTCCAGATGGATCAGCGACTGCCCACAATTTTCATTGTCTCTTCAAGTGATCAGCTTTATGTCATAGTTGAGCTCGCAAACTATCGTGTCACTCAATAGTTTCCTCAGCGTATGCCCAGTACATCTGCACTTCCTTTTGCGTGTTTGTTTGTCCTTCGTTGACCCGCTGCCTGCCAGAGTCCCTTATTGCCAATGGTTTCTGGCTGTCCATCTGATCTCCCATCTTGAGCCAGTGAAGGAGAAATGTATTGATGAAAAAGTAAGGTAAATGTAGTGCTGTTGATTAACTACAATATACCAACCTTGATAAACGTAAAATGCCTAATTGCTCAATAACATGTACTCTGCGTGACTTGCGAATACTGATTACAAAACGCAAAACCAAAGAATTCAGTTATCTAGGAGTGTGCTCTGGTCAGCAGCATATTTGCACGGAATGAAAATTTAGGGTTATTTAAGGTGGAGATTTTAGAAGTCATCTGGTCAGTATGGCGGCACTATGGTTTCAGGGTCTTTGTGTCTTAATGGCATAAGGATGGAAATAAAAATGGAGCCCTACTCTATCTTGACATCTACTAGTAAAAATAAAATCTAAAACACACGAACAGTCCGTAAGTGGACAAGTCTTTTGTTTAGTTAATATCACTTAGGTTCACCTTAGAGTATTAATTTTCTGTCTGAGCTTATTTTGGTGCTGTGAAGGGTAGATAATCATGCAGTGATCTTTTGGAAATGCTTTCAGTGGTGCGCTAGCGATGTCCCTTTATCAAATAAATGCATTGGCTTGTGATGAATGTCGTGGGTCTCCATACTGATTTCAGAGCAATGACCGTTCTTCTTGCTTTTCCTATCCTGGTATTCAGTTGACATCGACTTAGAAAAAACTGGAGAAAACGTATTTCACTATTTCAACCCAGTAAGGTTTGAAGCAGTTTCCTCCTAAGGATAGCCAATAGATATCTCTAAACTGCTACGTACCAGTTTTTAAAAAATGACTGCTGATAGATTGCTTTTATTTGTTTATGAACATTCAAAATGAATCCCTAAGATTGTAAAAGATTACGAGAAAATCACGAAAGGGTCGCGGCATATTACTAGGGGTGCAGTATGAAATCCCTTAAGGTAATTCCAACAGAGTTGCTGGTCTAGCGTCTGCAACGAAGTTAGGGCTAACTCTACCTCCATTAGGCTTTGCCATGTATGAAGTCCACTGTCTACCAGGTCATTAGGCATCTGTAAGAGCAGTCGTCTGGTTCTGGAGGGCCATGAATACTCCTTTTTAAATTGAATTCTCATTCATTTCACAATTTTACTATAGTTTTTATTATTATCCCTGTTTGTCTTGTTCTATTCTCTTCCATTTCTGTTACGTCTGCTTGGATTCCCCATGGTGTTTTAGAGGCTGACGGTATTGACGTCCACGAAATGTACGGAGTATACTAAGGTAGGATCTTATACTGACAACTTTCATAGTATTCGCTGCTCGTGGACCAAAGGTAAAGCAAAAGGCCAGAGTTGATCGTCCAAACTACGAGATATATTTTGGGACCAAATCGTGGACTGAGGCGGAAGCTAGGCTGGCTAGTGATCGTTCACGCACGTGACACGACGGAGTACCAAATGGTGAGGATGCTTGACTGGAAGCTTCAGCTAAACAAGTCAACTTAAACACTAAGTGTCAGCATCCAATATTCAGTGATGATTACTGTGGTCAATAATTTTGGGGAATCATTTGCCGCTACAGTCTTAAGTCTTAGGTTGTCCGGGAACCAGCACGGTACTTGGAATAGCTACCAAACAATAAGTATGTTTTCTTTGGTTTAGCAATCCCATTATTTAATATTTCACCTGGGCTTCAAAGTATCTTTATACCACTGTACTCCACTAACCTTGTACATTTCGTTTAGTTGCTAAGTATACATGCAATTTACGCGAAGGTTGAAACATCTTGATTTTCCCCGCTTTTAATTCTGCCTCAGGATCCTCACAGGGTTCCAGGGGGATATGATGCCTGTTATCTCTCACTGAGAGGTTTACTGACTTAAAAGAAATGTGACATCTTGCATAGCGTCTGACTGCGAAACAGTTTTTAGCTACGCAGAAGTTTACCGAAGATCAGGAACCTATACCTTACAATCAAGAAGCGAGCACAAAGAAATCGAATTGGTTTATACTAGCTCTTAAAAACGATATTGGATATTGGATGGCGTCAGTTTCAAAGGCTGAAAGCGCGCTGTTTGTAGGGAGCGCTACGAGATGGTTGTGTCAGCATTATATATTTTAGACAACAAAGGGAAAGTTCTTATCCATCGAAATTATCGTGGAGATGTTGAAACTAGTGCCATTGAAAAGTTTATGCCTATCGCAATGGAAAAAGAGGAGGAAGGTAGTCTCATTCCAGTCCTACAGTTGGGTGAAATAACATTCACATACGTCAAATATAACTACCTATATTTGGTATGCTTAACGCGTAAAAATGCCAACATTGCAATGGTCCTGGCGTTTCTGTACAAACTTGTCAATGTAAGTCTCAAGGTTTTCCCAACGATACCATAGATATTTCTTGAATATTTCGGAGAGTTTGAAGAGGAAAGTATTCGTGACAACTTTGTTATTACCTACGAATTGCTAGATGAAATCATGGATTTCGGATACCCGCAGACAACTGACACGAAAATCCTTCAAGAGTATATTACTCAAGAAAGCCACAAACTGGAAATCGCACCACGTCCACCAGTCGCTGTAACTAATGCCGTATCTTGGCGTTCAGAAAATGTTAAATATAGAAAAAACGAAGTGTTCTTAGATGTTGTAGAATCTGTGAACTTGTTGGTAGGTGATAATTAAGTTCGTTTTTGAATTTTTAGGTGAGCTCTAGTGGTAACGTTTTACGAAGTGAAATAGTTGGGAGTATAAAACTTCGCGTTTATCTCTCTGGAATGCCTGAACTCCGCCTGGGAGTAAATGACAAGGTTAGGTTTGAAAACATCGGGCGTAAGTGGTTGAAATTATAACTAATTAATCTTCCTGGTGAAGGCGATAAGGGTAAAGCTGTCGAACTAGAAGATGTAAAATTCCACCAATGTGTCAGATTGTCAAGATTTGAAAATGATAGGACAATTTCATTCATTCCTCCTGATGGTGAATTTGAGCTGATGTCATATCGACTAAATACTCATGTAAGTGAATGACTTAGTTTGTCAGTATGTTCTCCGTACTCTGTGCATACATTATTTGGTAACAGGTTTTCATACTTCATTTTTCTCAGAAGCGAATTATTTATGTACTAGTGTTTAATTTCATCTCACATTCAGTAACGCTTCACACTGTTTCCATTTGTCATCTTTATGACCAAAAAAGCAGGCTAATGCTCCATTTTCTAAGATGTGGTGCTAAACTATGAGAAAATTACTTCCAGAGGGAGTAGATCAACTGAGGTGTAGTTGTTTGAACAACCCGTGATAAAGATTTTCACCGCAAATCTGCTTTTTAGGCACTTATGGGACTATTTCAGCCTTGTTGCTCACTGATTTAAAAAAACTTTTTAAAAGGTCATTTATTCCTGCTATTATCACTGGATAACTAAGAGATGTAAGGGGTAGACTCCCATGGTAAAATTTTAAGTGATTAAAATATTTACTAATAATAAATAGTCATGGTATTTTTAGAATTACTGTACATAAGTAAACACTGGTTGGGTCCCAGTTTCAATGCCGAAAACAGCTAAATGAGTTCTATTTTCTGACGATATAGGTAACAGGGAGTGTGACGTAAGCTCCTATGATTCTGTATGACTTAAATTCGTCCATATTTATATCCTTTGGCGTCTTACTCTTTTATCTGCAGTTCAATTCGACGTGTGCCTGTTGTTTTTCTGTCTTCCATTTCGAATCCAAAATAAAATCTAGGAGACAAGCGTTTCTTTGAAAGACAAAAAAGTTAAACAGAGGCATTATTTTCCTTTTTTTCCCTGTGACATTCTGGTTTAAATTGCCCAATAAATTCTTTAATTCCAGCCAACCAATTTTTTACTGTCAACAAACTACGCTGTATAGTTTCCGTACCTTACAAGCATTTGCTAGTTTCACCGGATTTTCTTATTTCCCATGTGAATTTATGTGGAGATGTGGCTCACTACTATTAATAATTAATTTTGGGCTAGATAACCTAGTTCGAATCCCTCTACATCTACTTCAGCCTGATTGACTGAGTAGTGTAGTTAACCCCTTACATGATAGACGTGGCTCATAATCTTTTATGTGGGAAGTCTTTCCCACTAAAATGCGTTGTAATTGAGTAACGTTTTTGTCCCATATATAATTGCATGTATTGTGGGGAATAATTAATACTTTTAAAATGCTGTTTTTAAATAATTAGGATTTGTTCCCCCATACTTTTGATTCATCTGGATAGAGGTGGTTTATCTCTGTTAGCATATGGGTTTTTACAACAAATACCTGTGCATTTACCCGAATGTCATTTTAATGTCATTTCTTTGGTGGCTAGTAGTGAAGTGTAGAGTACCTGTTCTGCCTATAAAGTTATCAGGAGATGAATAATGCTGACACCTTGCATTTTTTCCATAACTCTGTCTTCCTCACCTTCAGAGGATTTAAAAATATTGGTCACTGCTTCAAATTTTGCTTAAATTTTGTCTCAGTAATCTTTACTGGAGCTTAAGAGAATTTCTGGTTCATGATAACAAACTAAATTTTGCTAATGATAACAAAGTCCCTATATCTCATGTCATTTCTGGTCTATTTCATTGTATACTGTACGCATTAGGGATATTCCCGATCGTCGAAGACATAACTCTGGCCTCCTAGTATCTCCACCAGAATTGTTTGCGTAACAAGAAGAGGAGGGGTTAATCGACAGGAAATCTAAGTGTCAATTTCATACTTTTTATCAGTTATTTGAAAGGGATATTATCTGTAAGCTTGTAGGAACTCATATCTCCTTTGTGATTGGAACCTGCAGTACTCAGTACAGAAGTAAGAAACTCTACTTCTGAGTTGTTTAATAGAAGGCTGACCGCGGTTATATATATATATATATATATATATATATGATCTGTCAGTGAGTGCCAAAAAGCCCGAAACCCATGTCCAGGGTTTCTACCGTTACCTTAGATTTTCTTTAACTCTTCCAATAACTTGGTATGTAATTCACATATTCATTCGTGTTTTATCTTCGTTTTATTTCCCTTCAAATTCCTAACTTTAAAATATACTTGATCAATATTCTAAATCTCTGACTCTTTTTTTTACAATGACATTGTTTCTGGGGTCTTGTAATTTTTCTAAATTTTTAATGGTAATCATTTCTGAGCGATGATCATCACTTATCGTTTCTAGATCATGCTATTCATGATTTTGAATTATATGTAAATTTATATTTGTTTTGTTATCAATTGATGTGAACAGTTGACGCGCTATAGGCAATTCTCTGACCTTTTACAATAGTATATACAACTGTACAGCCTTGAAATGAAGTTACGAGAAGAATACTCTCTACTGATGTATATCTTTTTGTTTTTTTCTTTTCTTATCGATCAGGTTTTCTAGACATCGAATAACATATAACATATCGTTTAACCTAATGGTCATATTTGCGCACGTGGTCGATAGTTCTCTTTGAACTTTTGTGATTATACATTTAGGGTATTTAGCATTCTACGACCAATTCTCAAGCAGTAGAATTATGTCTGATTACCAAAACTAGATATCATGATAGATAAAAATATTCTTATTCTACGGCTCTACAGTCGCATTGTGTTTCCCCATTTTCATTTGTAAATAATCACACAATTACTCTTCACGATAACTGATCAATAAAGTGGTGGAAAAAGATCATGAAATGCTGAAACTGATGATGGAACACGCGTATATATGCTAACTATTCCCAGTTAATAGATGAGGAATGGCTACATCAGATCGCGATTATATATGGCAGTATAGGAGATGTATACTTCTGGATTTATATAATAGTTATCGAATGTTTCAGGATTTCATCATCAGCTGATGACGGTTAGAGAACTATTGGAAAATCTAGGAGTACTGGGCAGCTGTTTCGTCCTAATTTGGGACTCCTCATCAGTACACACCCGCCCAGTGGGGTTACAAGTCGAGCTCGTAGACCATTAAGCCACTGGGAGCCAATCCAATTTCTACTAATTCACGACATAGCGCGACCACTAGCCAACGTCTTTGGTGAGTATTTGTCTTCTCACACGACCTGTTGCACCCTACTGATCATGACGTCTCACTTGGCATAGCAATAAAATGCCTTGCATAAAAAACAGAATCACCATGCCCCGAAGCCCTCAACCAGGTATTCGAAACCTTCTTATGGTTTCACAACCACATCGACTGGCTTTCCCACCTTATCTAACATTCTACTCATAACCTCATTATTATTCACCATAAAACCCCGTAACATGGCTCAATAAAGCAAAGATGTCTAGCTTCTTCAGGTGTTTCATTTTCAATGACCATGTTCCACATCCATAAAGAGCTATAAAATATGTTTGATGGAATTTGATGGTTCATCAAAGGTTACAATTATATGTATATATCAAGGGTCATAACATTTATAATTGTCTCATAGTTATGTTAAAGAGCACGAAAAAAGCGGTATATATCAAGTTGAAAGCGTTGACCTAAAAGTGAGCGTATCAGTTATAATTTCTAAAGAATAAAACATTGGTGCAACAGTTTATATTTATCCTTTATGCTTTGTTCTATAGTGTCAGCGTTTTCACTTTCTATTCCACTTGTATGCAATTGTACTCCTTTTTTATGCTACTATTACATGTCTATGTATTTTATGCACTCATGAAAATCAGGTTAAACCTCTCATATGGGTAGAAGCAATTATCGAGAAGCACGCTCATAGTCGTATGGAGTATATGGTTAAGGTAAGTTAGTTTCTGTAAGGTTTTTCTTTTTGCCAGTGACCAATTGTCTCAGTCAAAAGTCCTTTATTATTAAAAAGAAAATGATCTTTTATATTCTAGTAGAATACTAAGCAAAGGAAACAGTTTGTGGTGTTGTTGTCTTGACAGTTGGTTTCGGTTGTAAATCGTCCCCAGTTATAAGTTCAACTTGTAGAGTTGCAGTTTTAGTGAGTTTGTCAGTATAAAGCGCTGCGTCAACTCAATCGCCCCATAGAAAATCGTCTGTTAGGTGTGATGATTTATTTCTAACCGCTAACACTATTAGTTGCATGGAAATACTAAATTTCTTAAGTAAGAGCTTTCAAGGTATGTTGTCAAAATAACAGATAATTGATTAAATGACATTTACGGTTAATTGTAGTTTTTATGATTACTGATATGTAGCATTGGTTGAATAGTTTAACGAGATCACCTCGTGTAACCTGAGAGACCTGGGTTGGATCTCTTAAGAAGTCGTCATGGGTGCGTGGTGCTTAGGAGTCTCAACTAGGACTGCTCAGTACTCCCTAGCTTTTTTGCATCAGTAATCCATCAGTAGAATGCATGCCAGCTATGTGGGTGGTCTAGGTTCGCACCCCGGACGATGCATTCCTGAATCCCGCCCAGTTTACTAGAGGGTAGTAAAACCGGAGAAAAGGGGGGGCGGAGGTAGGTTGAACGTGAGAGTAGCAGCCCCACCGGCGGCACTGGAACTTTAAAAGCTGTAAGCTCTGTATCACATTCGGTAGAACACAAAGAATGAAGGAAAGAAATTTGAATTACCGTTTGCCATACTCAATCATCAATCAGGAGAGATAAATGCTATTACCCAGCAGTTTATTTCTTTCTACAATCCATTGAAGATGGAAGACATGCGGGGGAATTTAAGTTCTTTTATTGTAGGATTTATTGTAGTATTTCATGTGTACTGTGAAGCCATAGACTGAGTAACTTTTGCTGTGCGTCGGTGGCACAGTCGTTAGGACTCTCGCCGACTATGCACATGGTCCGGGGTTCGATTCTCTGCCGACACACACCTGATATCTATGGTCAGCCTGCAAAATTCGGGCTACCGATATCACATGCTGAAAATTCCATGCCTGTAAAATAAAATGTGGTGTGGGATCAAGCTGAAATAAAAAATAAAAGAAATATTTTTACTTTTGACTAACTGACTGGATTCAACGTAGAAATTTGCACAGAAGTGTAGCAGTTTGAGTCGCCACACTCTATGCACCATACAAAGCAAGTGAAGAGAGATGTTAAACAGAAGTGTGAGAGAAAAGGAATAATCATACGGAAGAACAGTAGTTTTATGGGATAATATAAATCATGAAGAGTGAATGCATCTGCGCCAGCCATTAAGAACGATTTTGAGCCATACCACCAATTGTCTCCAGCCTTCATTGGTTCTTATCATCCCGAAGACTCTAACCAGTCAGAAAGTCTACGTCTCCTTACCTGGCTTAAACGAACTGTTGTGGATTTCATTGACCGATGAAGTCATGTTTTGGTTTGACCACCGCTAGCTATTTTTTCCAACCTGATCCATCCTGTATCAGCTAACATTGCCCGTCGAGGAAAGTGGATGACTGGACATGCATGATACACGTCTTAACCATTTCAATCCATGTAGCTTCACAAACTAATCGATTTACTTACCCCTCTTACCTAGCACTCGACTGAAGTCTAACCTCAATACTGCTCACCACATTATACCACTTAACAAGGGAGATAGAACGCAGGCACCTATGATAAAAGACAACTAGCCTTTTAATGTCTTCTACTTTCAATGACCATGTCTCGCTCACGGCCATAAAGGAGGACGGAACGAACTGCTGAACAGTACACACACCCTTTGGTCGAGAGCCAGCCGGATATCACGTCTACTACGCCAGAGATGGCGTAAGTTGGCAGACATATGCCGAACGAGCCTTCTATATCTGTGCTGAGATTTCGTCAGCGATCAACCTGCTGCCGTTGACTGATACAAATTCTCGAATGAGTGAAGTGGTCAACACGTTCAGCCACCATTTCACTCCGTATCTTTGCACTACATTTTACTTTTGGTTTTATACAACGGATATGACACATGTTATGTTATGTTATTCATGGTGGGCTGCGATCACAGAGACTTCTGAATTATATGGGCGGTGAAAGTTTATTTCTTCTTGGGGTAGCTAAAACAGAAGGAATATTAGTGTTGTTTGAATGCAGAGCCCAGAGGTGAGGGGGGGAGACAGCTGCTTTAGGTTGGTCATACATGGGCTGTCTGAAGTGGTTTTTGGAGTTGTCTCCGTATTAAGGAAGATCTTACCGCCAGCTACGCGGACCGCCGCAAAGTAGATCGGGACATGCAATTCTTGGGGTCCACCTTTTCTAAGCCCTCCCTCTTCCCAGAGCTGAGAGGCAGTAGTATAGGGAGATACATTATGACGTCATCTACAGACTCACAACATAGTGTAAATTACTTTTTCAAGTGTTGGTTTGTAGGGATTTGATTGGCTACTGGATTTCATCATGGGCTGACATTGGTTAGAGGACCATTGGAAAACCTGGGAGTACTGGATAGCTGTTTCGTCCTGGTTTGGGGCTCTTCAACAGTATGCGCCCACCGGGGTTCGAACCCAGGACCTTCTGGTTACTAGGTGAGCTCGTATAATAATAATAATAATAGTAATAATTTACTTTATTCCAAAAACAGTACTTGTGATACAGAATGGAATTTTCAGCATTAATCACAATATTGCATCTAATTTCCTCAAATTATAAATAAAATTAATCACACAGAAAATTTTCCACATTTACAATAGAGGTAGTGTCAAAAACATGCAGCATATAAAATGGAAATAGCAATAATAATGATAACAGCTAGGGTAATAATAATAAGAATACAAGTGAAAATTGCCGTTGGCTTGTGTCACACAGTATTGGCAATGTGGTATAGAAATCCTAACATGTTTAAAAATATTGAATATAATGTTCTCTTTACATGATATGGTGAGGGGAAAAACAAAGATTACAGCCGTCATGGAGATAAGTTGGTGTTTGCAATTATGAGAGTAAAACAGAGAAGTAACAGGACCATAAATATAATAGAAGTAATAAAAGTAAAACTTGAAGGTATATAAGGATGGATGGAGGAAATTGTTTATTTACTAGATGAAAAAAGGTTAGTTAATTCTTGCCTGACACTATTTTCATCACATAAAATACGTGCCAAGTATGGTATCATAGAATTTCTATACTTAGACGTGCGAGCATACAGTTTTCTGAAGTTACTCCTTGTTCTACCTGAGGAGATGCAAGGTGAAAGCTGAGGGTAAAGCGGATGCTCCAAGTCAGACAAAATCCCTTTAGCAAATTTATTGCACGAAGTCAAGTGCCTATCGACAACGACGTTAACTATGTGGTCCACTGGGACACCACTCACCCTACTGACAGTCTTCAGTATTCTACGAATTGTGACATAGTCCTTTTTAAGCAAACCAGGAAAGAATAAGGGTGAACAATAAAGAAGAATAGGTAGGATGCAAGAGTTTATGAACTGTAAGAGGAAGGGTTGAGTTATACCCGAGTGTCTTAACTTCTTAATGTAAAATGTCAGGCGGAATATTTTACTGGAGATTGCTAAGACATGGGAAGACCAGGAGAGATCAGAAGAGAGAATGAGTCCAAGATACTTAATTTCTGATTTGATTCCTATATCATTGTCGTCAATTTTACAACTGTCATGAGAATCGATGACTTCTTTTAACTGTCGTTTACATCTTAAGCTGAAATCAACAGTTTGACACTTAGAAGGATTCAGTTTAAGACCGTTAGACTCAGACCATTTGCTGACTTCCGATAGAAAGCTATTTATTTTAGTACAATCTAGCTGGGAGTTAACAGCCATTGAAACCGTTAAATCATCAGCGTACTTCACAAAGTTTATTTCATCAGAGTGAGGCAAGTCATGCAAGAAGAAAGAAAAAAGAAAAGGAGAAAGAACAGCACCTTGAGGGACACCAGCTTCAGTAGGCAATGAAGTGGAAGACTTCCCTTTATATACGGTGTACTGCTTTCTATCTGAGAAATAGGAATGTAACCAGTTAACAGCCCAACATTCTGTTTGACTAGCAGCAAGTTTATTTAATAAGATGTCCCTAGGGACCGAGTCGAAAGCAGATGTATAGTCTAGGAAGGCGCAACGAACAAATTTAGCCCCCTTGTCTAGACTGGAAGCAATGTTATGATATAAGACGGCAGCTGCATCTAAAGTGCTTCTACTGTGCTTATAGGCAAATTGTTTAGGGTCATTAAAGGATTTAAGCGAAGGTACAAGACTAAGTAAAAGTAATTTCTCCATAGTTTTCAAAAAAGGAGAGGTAATAGCAATGGGTCTAAATTTGACACATGCTCCAGTGGATGATTTAGGTATGGGTACAACTTTAATGTCCTTCCAAACGGCAGGCACAATATTATCGGAAAAAGATTTGTTAAATAGATCAGTAAGAGGGTGACACAGAATATCAGAACATTTTTAAAAAATAATACTAGGTACATAATCGGGACCTAAGCTCTGGGAAGGGTTTAGAGACTTGAGGCACTTTTGAACATCATTTGTGTTAAAACCTGGAAAGGGGCTATTATTAACACAAGTGATGCTGGGAAGCATGGCATTTGAGGGAGAGTAAATAAAAGATTTGTTAAGAGTACATACATCAAAAGAATATGGAATATTGTTTATCTGCTTACCACCAGTGATTTCCTTAAATAGTTTCCACATATTAGAAGGATTTTTGCAGGATATGAATTTCTGGTTATATATTACATTCAACCTCTGCATTTCAGACTTAATTAAGAAGTTAGTTCTTTTTACACCACTTTTATCTTTCATCTTATACAGTTTTTCCTTCTCTCTACGAAGCTTTTTAAGTTGAGGCGAGGAGAAACGGTCAAATTTGACGAATAGTGTTTCTTTTGGACAACAGATTTCAAAACAGAATTTCAGATAGGATGTAATATTAGAGATATTGTCATCAAGTGAATCATCATTAAACAAATCCCATCTTGTGTCACTGAGCATGTTTCTAAGATGATGTACGTTCTCATTTGAGTAGCATCTGTGAACAACTTTCTTAGACAAGTTTGAGAAGGCTTTACTGTGTAACTTTCCGTAAATTTTGGGTAAGACTCGTACAATACAATGATCAGAATTGAAGAGCGGGGCTCTTTTACGAGCTTCGTATATTCCAGAATCATTTATAAATACTAAATCAAGTGAAGTATTTTGTCGAGTTGACGGTAACTGACTTTAGTCTAATCACTATCCAAACGACCTTTTTCGCATGGTAGAACCTGCAGGAACATTAGTCCTAGTCAGTATAGCTCGTTGGGTCGTTGTGATATAAAATCCGAGTTACCATATCAATGTACCAGTCTAGTCGGGGTACATAGAGGAAGTTGTCTGAAAAGGAAGCAATTTCAAACATCCTAAATATTTTAATCTGTTCCATATTCTTTCATCTTCTGATGAATAGTTTTGCTCCTCTTTTTTTCGTTATTTTATTCTGTTTCTTTCCCCTCCTATTCAATAGGCTAAAGCACAATTTAAGCGTCGAAGTACAGCGAATCAAGTTGAAATTCATATCCCAGTGCCATCAGATGTTGATTCGCCTAGATTTAAAACAACAATGGGCAGTGCTAAATATGTCCCAGAGACAAATGTTGTTATCTGGACAATACGTAGTTTCCCGGGCGGGAAAGAATACATCCTGAGAGCTAGTTTTGGTCTACCGTCTGTTGAAGGCAGTCAAGATGTTGAATCAAGACCACCGATAACAGTGAAATTTGAAATACCATATTTTACTGTTTCTGGTTTACAGGTGTGTAAACTTTGTGTTTTGTTGTTATTTTGATGTAAAATTTAACTTCTTGCATGTGTGCTTCAGTTGAATGTTTATTGGTTATATAAGTCTTATCTCTTTCATGTGTTTGTTTTGTAGGGATTTGATTGACTGGTTACAGGATTTCATCATGAACTGACATTAGTTAGAGAACTATTGGAAAACCTGCAGGGATTACTGGACTGCCAGCTGTTTCGTCTGCCTCGTTTGTGACTCTTCATCAGTATGCCTCCACCGGTTTAACTTCATCATAGATATGCTGATGGAAGTATCCTTAACTGAACGGAACGACTTAGGAATCGACTTGTTACCAGGGAATAGTCTTATGGACTTAGAATATGCAGATGACATAGTCCTGTTAGGGGAGGATGCTGACAAAATGCAGAGTCTTCTGAACACCTTGAGCAGCAATCTTCGTATGTTTGGCATGCGATTCGCCCCTGCAAAATGTAAGATGCTGCTACAGGACTGAACTACGTCAACTCCTAGCTTAGTGATGGGGAGTAAAGTGATAGAACATGTTGACCACTTCACCTATTTGGGAAGTTGTATTAGCACCAATGGACTGATTGGCGACGAAATCTCAGCACGGATCCGAAAAGCTCGAGCTGCTTTCGCTGACTTACACCATCTCTGGCGTAGGCGTGACATCCGGTTATCAACCAAGGGACGTGTGTACTGCTCATCAGTTCGCTCCGTCCTTCTCTATGGCTCTGAAACATGGCCAATACGCGTTGAAGACATGAAAAGGTTGACCGCTTTCGATCATAGATGTCTGAGATCTCTGTCTCACGTTAGGTGGTTTAACAAGGTAAGTAATGTTGACGTTAGGCGTAGAGTGTTGGGCAAACAGGGAAAACCAATGGACGAGGCTATAAAGTTACATAGATTGAGATGGCTAGGTTACATGCTGCGCATGCCTAACCATCGCCTCCCCCACCCAGACAGGCATTACTAGCTGATATAGAAAGGTGCAGGTTGGAAAGAGCCAGTGGTGGCCAAACAAAAAACATGTCATCAATCAATGAAATCCTTGACAGTTAAACTGAGTCAGGTAGTTAGGGAGATGGAGACTTCCGGGTTGGGGCCCTCGGGATTGACTCTAGGAATCAATGGCTGGAGACAATAGGTGACATGGGTCAAATCGTTGTCAATGGCCAGCGCAGATATATTCAGTCTCTGTAATCTTTCATATTCCTCTCTACCATTACCCATTCTGTTTCACTCTTATACTTGTCAGACTGTATTGATTCTCTCCACTCATCTTCTTGTCTACCTCTGTGTGCTATTTGAAACGTGGCAACTCGAACTGCTGCACTTCGGTGCCAAGTTCTATGTTGAATCCAGACAGGCAGACAGACAGATGCCTCCACCGGGATTCGAACCCCAGGACCTGGGTTCTGTAACTAATATCAGCTCATGATGAAATCCCGTAACCAATCAAACCCTACAAACCAACACCTGAATATCAATGAGATGCTCACTAGTGACTTACCCTATTCAGGTAGGTAGTTACCTGGGGTTCTAGTGAGAAGTTGTAACCAGTAGGGTGCAGCAGGTCGGGATGGGGAAATGTGCATCCCTGAGGAGTCCTGAACTAGGACAAAATGAATGTTCAATAATTTCTGGTTTCTAGTGATTGTCCAATTCATGTCAGTTTTTGACCTATCTTGAAATCAATTAAATCTTTGCAAAACAACATTTCAGCATAAAATGTTTTTAAAAAAAATTGACTTCAAATGTTATTTTCTTTGCGATTTCGATTGATTTCATGTCTAATTTAGTCAATAACTAAACAACAGTTCACTTTAAAATCTGACAGTAGTTAGCGTGAACTGTTGAAGAGTTGAAATCCTCGCCAGAAATCAATATTCATTACTTCTTGGTTTTCAGCTGGTCATCATAAGACGAAATCTGTCATGGTGACATAATATAAGGGAGGTGTTGAAAATTTATGTTAATTGGTCATTCATTAAAAGTATCTTTTGAAATCTATGTTATGAGATTTCATCGTAAGCTGGCATTGGTTAGAGAACTGTTGGAAAACCATTGGAGAGTGCCGGACAGCTGTTTCGTCTGTCTAGTTTGAGACTCTTCATCAGCATGCACCCACCGTCAGGGTTCGAACCAAGGACCATCTGGTTACAAGGCCAGTTCGTAGACCGTTAAGCCACTGGGACCCGACTCCACAGTGACCAGTCCATGAATTCCAACCTCCGCCAATTCATTATATAGCGCAACCACTAGCTAATGTCATCGATGGCGAGTGTTTGTCCTTATACCCAACCTTCTATACCCACTGGTCATGACTTCCCACTAGAACCCAGTTAACTACCTACCTGAATAGAGCAAGTTGCTAGTGAGCATCTCATTGATATTCAAATATTAGTTTGTAGGGATTTGATTGGTTACAGGATTTCATCATGAGCTGACATCGGTTTAAAGAATTCGTTACCAGTAGGGTGCAGCAGGTCTGGTGCGAGAACAAATACTCACCGCCACTCACCATTGGCCTAGCGGTCGCGCTATGTCGTGAATCGGCAAAAGTTGTAATTCTTGGGCCATGGGATCTGGTCCCACTGGTTTAATCGTCTACGAGCTCACCTTGTAACGGAAAGGTCCTGGGTTCGAAGCCTGATGGGGTGGGTGCGTAGTGATGAAGAGTCCCAAACTGGGCAAACGAAACAGCTGTCCAGTACTTCCTGTAGGCTTTCCCTTGGTTCTCTAACCGATATCAGCTCATGATGAAATCTTGTAACCAGTCAATCAAATCACTACAGATCAATATTTGAATATTATGCTTTAAGTTATTGGTGGAAACTTCTGAATCAGCGGTCTTTAAACACTTTTTTTAAACACTCGCGAGGTAATCGTTGGAATTCATATTTTAGCAAATTAAAACAATGTGAATATGAGAAGTAATAAGCTGAAGACTTGTGGTAGGCCAAGTTCCAAACAGACCATTGCCTAAACAACAATAATTATGCGAAATTTTTGATTAACTCAAAGATAATCAAAATTTTTAATGATAAATCAACAAATTTCGGGGAAAAAAGCTATGATTCAACGAAATCTTCGAGGTTTTTGTTTTTCGAGAAAGAAAGAAGTGATGTATTGAGCTGTGGTGATACTGTCTGACCGCCTAAACCTTAGCAGGTTGAACAACTGGTAGAATTGGCCAGTTGTTTCGTCATAGTTTGTGACTTTTCAGCCTCACATGCTCATAACCCTGCCAGAATAGAATCCAAGAACTTCGGGTTTACGAGGCAGGCTCGTTGGCCATTTCGCCATTGAGACTCGACATTTTGTGATCTGGAGGTATAAGGCATATCATTGGGAAATAAATGAAATGAAATGCAGTTTAACAACTATTTGTATTCCTCAGGCAGTTAGCATTAAGTCGCACCTTTTGTGCAATGAATGGCTAATGATTCTATCCGATTCCCTGAATCTCGGTGGGTGAGGCGGGTCTCGAGCCCATGACCTAGTGGTAGCAAGTTAAGTGCCCAGATCAATGAGCCACAACTTCCTGGGTATGTTGTTAAACCATTCAAAACAGCAAACGCATAATGACGATGAGTAAGCTAAAATTTCAACAGCTATTCTGGTAGTACGCATGTTTCATCATTTCCTTCCACTTAAAACAAAAGCCACAAACAGTTCTTCTGAAGTAGTTTGATGAATGGTGACTAGCAGTGGTGGAATCCGAGACAGTGCACACTTCGTCCTATTTGAGACTCGTCAGCGAGTGATAGTGTTTCCACTGAGACTCGAATCCAGTATGCTTTATTTCCAGTAGACAACCGTAGATGGTGAGTCAATTGGGCTAGTGGACAACGCTTTGGTGTTTGAAATGATGGGTAACGGTTTCGAGCATCACCGGAAGTAAAGGTACATCCACTCGTTGATGAGTCCAAAATGGGACGAAATCCTTCTCCTATCTAGATTCCACTGCTAGTCACCATTCACCAAAATTACTTGATGTTCAATCTCCTACAGAAATCGTTGAAGCTTCCGTGTAGTAATAAGCCGTTGGCATGTCAATTGAGACATCTTGGTCCTCCAGTTAATCAAAGAGGAAAATCAAAATTCATTATATATTCCTGTTTTCGTTTGTTTTTATTTTGCTTTTTCTGTCACTTACATTTTATAGGTGCATCATTTAAAAATTATTGAAAAATCTGGTTACCATGCCTTGCCATGGGTTCGGTATATTACACAGAACGGGGATTATCAATTACGTACACTATAAGGAAGGATACAAAACGAGATGCTTGTCCATACACACATACTTTTTTCTTTTTTTAACTGTTGGTGATGATTTTATAGTTTATTCTTTGACTACTGAATTTTTGTGAGTAATGATTATGCTAATCAAGTTTTATATTATTATTATTTGATCTCCTATGCATTATTCATATATATATATATATATATATATATATATATATATATATATATATATATATAATGGAAGGATATTTTAATTCTTATCCTATGAGGATCTGTTGATTTTTTTGTGGGTTCCTCTGTCTTTTATGAAACAAAATTTTCTTCTGCTTTATACTGTTAAATCTCAGTGTTTTTGTCTTGATTTTAACTTTCCGCCTTTTTTTGATTTTTACTTCTGCCTTTATTCTATTCTCATATGTGAGAAAGTCTGTCTGTCTGTGTTTGGTAAAATACGGACACCACCACACTACCCACCAATACGCATACATCCAACAGAACTTATAAAATATCTATCACTTACATGGCTGTGAATCACCCCCATCCCGTCTCATTCCACCCACGCACCTGCCCTCTATTGCGCATCTTTCCCCTCGGTGCACAAAACACCCTCCCTCCTGCCCCTACTCATTATTATTATTATTATTGTTATTCATGCTTAATTCTTTTACTTGAAGGTATTACGTAATTTGTTACAATTCACTATATAGTCATATTCTTCTCGCATTGGCTTATTGCTGGCTATCAGAAGAGACAGATGGATGCGGGATACATCACGCATACATACATACATTCAGAGATGTGTACGTGCCCATTGATCTCAAAAGGAAACATGTGAATACCATCCAAATTGGATCTTTTTCGGGGGGGGGGGTGTTTAACACTCATTGTTTTATTTGTTTGGTTTTTTAAAATAAACCCAGTTTAAACCTTCTGTAATTTTATTGATTTCTTTTTTTTGTCATTGTGATGACAAGAGAGAGAGAAAAGAGAAGTATTAGTGGATTGTTTTTTGTATAATTTTAACTCTGAAGAAAAGACAAAAACACAACTTCTTTATCTTTCTGTCTTTTAATAATAAAGTAGGTTTTCAGAAGGTTTGCTCTTTCCCTTTGTTGTGAGATGAGATGTCATTTCGAGACGATGATTTCCTCCCGCCGCCCCGCTTTGTTGTGTGTGGTCATTTCTAGTTAGTATATCACACGCACACAGTATATAGAATGATAATATTTTTTTGGTGGAGGGGGGGAGGGGGGTAATGAGGAGATCTGAAAAGGCCATTTTTTTTAAACAAAAATATTAAACTTTTCCTATTTTATGTGGTGTTTTCTTGGGCTTCTTCATATCAAAAATGTGTAATTTCTAATAAATATAGTATTGTTTTTATTTGTCTCTAGTTGTTGGAGCAGATTATTATTGAGTAGTCGGTATAAAGAGGTTATGGTGTCGACCAGTGAGTGGTGTCCATCAGGGATGCTAGTTCAATGTCCCCTGTTTCTGTTTAATTTCATCATAGATGTACTGATGGGATTAACTCTAACTGCTGACTTCAGCGGCTCAGGAATTGACTTATTGTTATTAGGAAATAATAGTCTGGTTGACTTAGAATATGCAGATGATATAGTTCTTCTTCTAGGTGAAGACTCTAGGTGATAAAATGTAGAGTCTTGTGAACAGCTTGAGGAGCGGAAGTCTTCGAATGTTTGGCCTGCAATTTACTGCTGTTAAATGTAAGATGATGCTGCAAGACTGGACTACGTTGACCACTCCCAGCTTAAAGGTAGGCAGGAGTGAAGTGGTAGAGCATGTTGACCATTTCACCTATTTGGGGAGTTGTATCAGCCAACGCCAGTGGGTTGATCGCTATCGAAATTTCAGCATGGCTACACAAGGCTCGTTTGGCATACGCCTGCCAACTTACGCGGTCTCTGGCTTAGTAGACGTGATATGCGGATGGCTGTCGACCAAAAGGCGTGTATGCTGCTCAGCAGTTCGTTCTGTCCTCTTTTGTATCTTTGAGAAATGGTTATTGTAAGTACAAAATGTGAAAATGGGACCTGTCTTTGATTATAGGTGTCTGCGTTCTATCTCCCATGTTAGGATGCACGATAGGATGAGTAATATTGAGGTCAGACGTCGAGTGTTAGGTAAGGAAGGTAAATCAATCGATTAGGTTGTGAAGCTACATGGATTGAGATATCTAAGATGTATGTCATGTATGCCTGGTCATCATCTTCCTCAACGGGGGATGTTAGCTGAAAAAGAGCTGGTGATGGTCAAACTAAAACATGCCGTAAAATCTTTATCAGTTAATTTGAGCTACAATCGGAGGTGTAGACTGTATGGTCGGGGTAAAAACCAATGGCTGGAGGCAACTGATGGTATGGCTCAAAATTGTGTGGCTGGTACACTCTCGTGAGAAGTTCTGTGTTGGAACCAGTCAGGCATATTAAGTAATCTGGTCACTTGAATTTCACTTAGTGTGATATTTGGTTTTCACAGTGGTGTAAGTATTGGACAGCTGGACAATAATGGTGATTATCACATTAGAAGGAATTTTAACTCAATAGAATTTCTGCTTATCTACTGACTTTTATAGAGCCAAATTTATCATTAGCGAATCGCAAGTTGACATCAGTTAGAAAACTATTGGAAAACCTGGACAGCCGTTTCGTTCTAGCTGTTCTTCTGCGACTCTTCGTCAGTGAGCACCCACTCGGGTTCGAACCCAGGACCTTTGGACTATTTGCCGAGCTCGTAGATCATCCAGTTACTGGGAGCCCGGCTCAATGGCCTGTCCATTTGTGATATATATATATCGCGCAACCGCCAGCCAATTTCATCGGTGAGTAACTGTTCTCTTACCTGACTCGGGTGCGTAGTTTTGAAGAGTCCCAAACTCGAACGAAACAACTGTCAGGTACTCCCAGTGGTTCTCTAATTGATGTCAACTTGTGACCTGTTATATACTGGTCGAGAATTTAATAGTCCTGACGCAAGAAAGACGGAAATCAGAAGACCACTAGGTTTGCGATCATACTTCTATTTTCCAAACATAAGGAGAATAATCAATGTCACACAAGTGTGTGAGAGCAAAATATGAATGTCCGAACAAGTGTGTGAGCGAATATTCAAAATGAACAAACCAATAGACAGTCTTAACATGACTGGCTAATTATAATGGAATATCGATCCATATATACATAGCAAATATACAGACTGTCAAACAAACACACATATTATATGGATATATATCACCAAGGACAGACTGTCAAACAAAACACACATATCATATGGATATATATCAGACCTGACTTGTAGGCAATGAAATCCTTGCAAACCAAGACTCGATAGTTAATCTGATGTTCATTAGCAGATTACGCATTTTAGTGTGTATATTTACTTCAGTTTGCTTGGGAACCTCAAAATATTCAGATCACACTGTATGATCTGCTTGATAGCATAAGTGATGATTATTAGGAGGGCAAAAGAGCACAGTGCGATGTGATTGTTATAACTATCTTACATCTCAGAGTTTAACTGAGTCGATCACTGATGACGTCGGCCATATGTGCAGCCATTTCATTCTGTACTAGTTTTACTCAACTATTGATCATCATAGTATGGATTATTTCAATTGGAAGGCGACTGAGTGTATCACATTGTTATGCAAATTTCCCATCTTCACTATTGTTGATCTGTAAGACTAAGATGACTAGTGTTTGTTAGTTTTTGTAACCTTTTTCTATGGATGCCTCATTTCAGTTTACTGATGATAACTTTTAGTTACTAGGTGAACTTATTCTAGATATTGTCAGACTACTTAGATAATAATAGAATAATAATTTCTCCTTCACGTTCCCAGTGGAACATAGAGCTTCAAGCTAGTGGCTTGAAGTTTCTGTAGCAGTGTTTATTTTTTTACAGGATGGGGTTGCTAGCCTCATGCCCAACCTTTCCTCCTTGCCTGTCTCACTACTGACTTAGCGAGGTAAAGGAGTGCGTCGTCCGGGGATCGAATCCCGGACCATGTGCATGGTTGGCGAGCGTCCTAACCACTGTGCCACCGACGCCCAGACTACTTAGATACATTGAGGTAATTCTGTTGTAATCTCAGTTCATGCATAGTCTTACCTTATTGAATGTTTGAACAGCATATGGAATACCTTAAGCCCGAATTTGCAACTTATGTGATTGGAAAGTGGTCAGAGGCAGAGATCGCAGATATCTATGATCGAAAGCAGTCAACCTTTTCATGTCTTCAACGCGTATTGGCCATGTTTCAGAGCCATAGAGAAGGACGGAGCGAACTGCTGAGCATTACACACGTCCCTTGGTTGATAACCGGATGTCACGCCTACGCCAGAGATGGTGTAAGTCAGCGAAAGCAGCTCGAGCTTTTCGGATCCGTGCTGAGATTTCATCGCCAATCAGTCCGTTGGTGCTAATACAACTTCCCAAATAGGTGAAGTGGTCAACATGTTCTATCACTTCACTCCCTATCACTAAGTTAGGACTGGACCACGTCAACCCCTAACTTAGTGATAGGGAGTGAAGTGATAGAACATGTTGACCACTTCACCTACTTGGGAAGTTGTATTAGCACCAACGGACTGATTGGCGATGAAATCTCAGCACGGATCCGAAAAGCTCGAGCTGCTTTCGCTGACTTACACCATCTCTGGCGTAGGCGTGACATCCGGTTATCAACCAAGGGACGTGTGTACTGCTCATCAGTTCGCTCCATCCTTCTCTATGGCTCTGAAACATGGCCAATACGCGTTGAAGACATGAAAAGGTTGACTGCTTTCGATCATAGATGTCTGCGATCTCTGTCTCACGTTAGGTGGTTTCACAAGATAAGTAATGTTGACGTTAGGCGTAGAGTGTTGGGCAAACAGGGAAAATCAATCGACGAGGTTATAAAGTTACATAGACTAAGATGGCTAGGTCACGTGGTGCGCATGCCTAACCACCGCCTCCCCGACGGGCATTGTTAGCTGATATAGGTTCAGGTTGGAAAAGAGCCAGTGGTGGCCAAACAAAAACATGGCATCAATCCATGAAATCCTTGACAGTTAAACTGAGTCAGGTAGTTAGGGAGATGGAGACTTCCGGGTTGGGGCCCTCGGGATTGACTCTAGGAATCAATGGCTGGAGACAATAGGTGACATGGGTCAAAATCGTTGTCAATGGCCAGCGCAGATATA